AAGTTTTGTGTTTTATGTTGACAATTTAGTTAGTAGTGTTTGGATTACCTTTTATTTTATATCAAATTATCAGTTCAGTTAAATTTTATATTTTTTGTTAGGCTTCCGAGATTGGGATTTATTCTAACTATTACATCGGTCATAGATCCGATTTCGGGTCGTAACAGTTATATATATGATATTATATAATAAAATTTTTTATTTTAAATATAAGTAAAACAGTTTACTTCAGAAATTAAGTACAACTTAAAAATTGTAGTTAATTTTATAAATAAAATGTTTTAGTTTTTGAAGCTTGTATTCCAAAGATATTGTTCAAAAGAACAATATTTCTAAAATTTTGATTTTATAAATAGAGGCATGTACTTATGAGACTGTAAAAAAGGGCCCCTAAGAATTTTGGGCATATCTACCATTTTTAAAAGTTCATAAATTTAATTTTTAAATGTTTAGCATTTACAAAAATGAGTTTTAAAAGTATTTATTTAGGATTTTTTTTAATAAAACTTATGTTAGAAAATGGAATTGGGTCACTCATGTGGCCTGATTTGAGTGATTCAATTCCCTAAATAACTAAAAAGAATGAGTAGTTTCTCTTTCTCTCTCTCTCTCTCTCTTTTTTTTTTTTTTTTTTTGCTACAATAGAAAACAAAGGCAAACTACACAAGTTGTATTGGCTTGCAAGAGTCGTCCAAGAGACAGAAGGAGGCTAGTCCAAAGTACAGAAATTAACATTATAATTAGTCCTAAGCTTAGCAAGAAAGTTTGCACAAGCATTAATTCTCTGCAGAAAATGAGAGACCATAAGAGCAATAATTATCCCATACAAGTAAAAACTCTATAATGTGTGTGATAAGATTAATCTAATTATCTCTAAGAAATTAGTCTCATATTATTTGAATCTAGCCGTAATTAAGATTCCAAGTCACTAATAAACCATGTTTGAATCTGGCCGTAATTAAGATTCCAAGTCACTAATAAACCATGTTGGATAGCCAACAACACTAGTAATATATTTCTGTGACTCATACAGTTAACAAATCTAGAAATCTAATCTTCAATAGAGCGATGGATTACACTACCAAAACTAATTATAGGAGGATTTCCCTGACAATTACTATCTACATTCACCTTACCTATCAGGAGGTCTTTTTTTGCAAAATGCACGTTGATCATGGTCCAGCAAAGTAAAAATATGAAGAAACTCGATGTACCCTTCTTAGAAATAGCAAGCCCTCTTAGCAGCTTTCAAATATCCTGTTTTTCATATTCAAACATCATATTATTCTTCAAAAACTAAATCCACTAGAGGGAGGCCAGGAAAAAAAGAATTATTTTTGTTCTTGGTCTTATTAGTAACACTGTTAACCGAGTCGTTTGCAAAGAAATCTAGGGGCAAATGCGGACGAATTGTCAACCAAATCTCACCAGAGCAAGGGCAATTTTGAAGGCAACGAAGATTGTTCTTCTCTGATTAAAATAACGAGTACCGGCAACATCTACCTCTAGACCACGATAACCCCCAAGAACTATTGTTGGTAAAATCCCACGAAGAATAAGCTAAATAAGAACATTAGAGAATGTTCTTTTTCAATCTCAAATTTAGATATTTTTAAAGTTGAAATATATTTTTAAAATATAATATTTTTAAAATAATTTCATGAAATGAAATATTATTATTTTAATATGTTTAAAAATAGTATTTTAAAAGGTAAAATTATAGGATTATGTTTTTTCGAAAGGGGCAAAATACAAGCATGACTGTTTTTAAGCCTATTTAAGTCTTATTTTAAACTTTTGCCTCCAAACTTGTTTTTAAAATATTTTCTTTGAGATTGAGTACAGTTAAAAGGCCATGCTCAATTTTTGGAGCAAATGCTCTTATTTTGTTTCTAAAGTATATTTTAAAACACAAATAAAGAAATAAGATTTTAAAAATATTATTAAAAAAATAGAGAATTTTACTTTTAAAATTCAAAAAGAACACTTCCTTAATTTTCTCAAGAGTTTTGATATGCTATACCCATTTTCATAAAACCCCAGAACCTAATTACACTAACTTTGCAAGAGTTTCAAGTATCCAGTTAAAACCAAATATTCCCTAGACAGATTATCATGCCAAACTCAATAATTATCAAAATAACTAGGGAAGTGAATCAGAATAGTGGCTATATGATTCATTAAATTATAAGTAATACTTGGTCTAAAGAATATTAAAGTGCCACCTACCATTACACCATTAGTTCCTCAGTTTAAGGTTAGAATAGGAAATGTGGATGAAATCTACCTTCTCACACAGATGTCTCTTGGATAATACCAAAATGAATAGTCCCATTTTTCTTTCTAACGCTGAAACTAGCCCTCAACTTTGAAATAGCCTTAATAATACTTCCCCACACATATGAGGCATGTTCAGGGACTATTCTATCAACGATGGAAAGTTCTCTAAAAGAATTTATAGGAAACGGACTCGAACACAAAATTTATCTCTATCATGAAGGAGTTTCCTGATCAACTTACCAAGAAGGGTAATGCTAGAAAGTCTTGAGTCCCACACTCAAAGACCTCCAAATATTTTTAGAGTAAAAATGATATTCCAATTGAGTAGATTAGAACTTCGATTATTTCTCTAACTACTCTAAATAAAATTTCTAGTCACATGATATATCTCATCGTAGGTATTGTCTGAGGACCGCACACATTACAAGGTATAGATAGAAAGAGAAAAGATAACTTATCACATAAGACAAGTTATCCCAGTCTTATACAATAATCTACCCCTGGAAGATAACAATTTCCTTCAGATATTCTTAATCTTTGGCTGGAAGAACACTTTCTCAACTTTCCCTTGAAAGAGAGGGAAGCCCAAATATTTGTCTAAATTATTAGCAAAACAAATGGAAGAGATGGTAGTAAAACTTTCTTTTCTCCTTCTAGAAACTCCAGATAAGCACATAATTCGGGATTTCCCAAAATTGACTTTCATCTCTGAAACCTCACAAAACTTGTTAAGAGTATCAGTCATCATTCTCATTTGAAAATTCTTGGCTGTACAAAACAACAGGATATTATCAGCAAAAAATAAATGAAAAATTTCGGACTTCCCTTAAAAATATGAATAGGCAGTGCCACTTTTTCTCTACCACTTTTTGACTAATGTAAAGTGCTAGCATATCCACACATAGCACAAAATAGAGTAAATCTTATTTTGAAATGAGCAAATCATCCATGATTACTCTCATATATATGTGTGTGCGTATTTATATATATACAGATTAATATATCAAAAAAAGGTGAAATGAGAGATATGTTTATTCAACGTATATGTGCGATACACCTTGAAATACTTCATCTTTGTATCTAAGTTAAAATTATTTCAATTGTAATTAGTTTTAAATCAAGATGCACAAATATATCTAGTGAAATAGTCTGTAAAAATTTTAATTAAAATTGTGTATATTTATGTGAATGAATTAGAAGTTTGTTTGTCAACTTCCAACTAGGGTTTTGAGATTTTATTTCTAAAACAAAACAAAATATTGAAAAATATAAAATTTTAAAATTTTAGACTTAAAAATCTTAGAATCTCTTATACTAAATGCTCCCTTAATCTTAATAGTATAATCTCCTAAAACAAACAAGACTTTAAGTGTAAATAAAAATATTTTTTTTTCTAAACTTAAACTCCTAAGTCATATAAAATATCTTTGTTACAAAACACACAGAGAAAACAAAAGAAAGATAGTGAAAGGATGTCATAAAAGGCCCCCTACCTCTCATTGTGCTCTTGAAACGTTTTTTCAAATCATATTTATAATATATTTACCCCAGCTTCTAATATAGTTAAAATTAAAGTAATTTAAATTATTCATATTTTTAAATGATTCAATTTATTTAAAATAATTAAATTTAAATACTGAAACTATAATATAATAAATCTAAATAATTTAAATTAATTTAATAATGAAAAAAAAATTAAAATGGAGGGACTGTGCGAGTAAGCAGCACAGCAAGAACTGTAGTCCAGAACCGTGTCAGCCACGAGGAATTAGAGAGTCTACCAAACGGGGATCCATTTCCAAGTCTAGATAGCAGATCCGATTTGTTTATTTATTTATTTTGTAAAAGATAAAGCAGATCCGAATTTAAAAATCCTAGTGGCTGTCGATGGTGGGGTTCCTGCTTCAGTTTCAAATGGTATTATTGGCCCGTATTAAAGTAATTTTTTTTTAAATACATAAAAAATTTGAGATTTTTCTAATTAAATATTTGGCAGCATTTTCATTTTTGCACAACTTGATTGTAATTTTATTTCTAAAAATGTCTGTCAAATCATATTTTATATTTAAAATTAAAAATATTTACTAAATAGTTCTGAAGCCATTAATTTAGTGTTTTAATTTAATTTTTAGATTTATGGGTGTTTAATTATTTTAAAAAAAGCTCAATTTTTGGCCCGTGAATTTGGTTTATTTATTTTTCTTGGTTTTGTAAACGGAAGACCGAAATACTTTGAATTTTATTAACTCTAAAATAAACTTTTTCCTTATGAAGCCGGAAAAAAGGGACCAAGTTTTTTTTTTTTTGGGAGCTCAAACCAATCAGCCCGTGAAGGGTGTAGATTCTGTCCAGTTGAATAATTGAAGCCTTTCCTATTTTTGAAATAAGGGGCAGTTCGGTAATTGTACTGATCACAAAAAAAAATTTGAAAACCGGCTCAATACCATTAACCAGTCCACGTCAGCGATCCGCGTGATACCCATGAAAAGAAGCCACAAACCGTCAGATGCTAGACGGAACAAGGACCCCTAGCCGTCAGATTATACTGCAGAGCCTCATCCCTTTCCCTTGCTCGATCCAAACCTCTGTGAGAACTCCCACAGTCCCACAACTTTAAATTCAATTCTCCCTATTTTACTTTGCCGTCCTTGTCCTCCTTCTCTACAGTCTTTCTATCTCTCTCTCTTGTCTCCAGTACTTGTTGTCTCAATATGGCAGCTGAAGAGTCCAACAAGCCCCCAACTGAGCCGCAACCTCAGCCTGCAACTGCTCCTTCGACTCTTCCTCAGTACCCGGAGGTAATTCTCCAAAATGTGTTTCAAATTCGTGTTTTAATTCTAAGATCGAGCTTGATTTGAGCTGGGTTTCGCTTAAATTGGGATGTGTTTGTTGCTTTTGCAGATGATTTTGGCAGCGATCGAGGCTTTGAACGACAAGAACGGCTCGAACAAGTCGTCGATCTCGAAGCACATCGAGGCCACCTATGGCGAGCTCCCGCCGGCGCACTCGACGCTGCTCTCTCACCACCTGAACAAGATGAAGCAGAGTGGTCAGCTCGTGATGGTCAAGAACAATTACATGAAGCCCGACCCGAACGCTCCACCCCGCCGGGGCAGAGGTCGCCCGCCCAAGCCCAAGGCTCCTCTCCCGCCGGGCACGGTTCCGGCTCCGCCGCGGCCCAGAGGCCGGCCGCCGAAGGCCAGGGACCCGTTTGCCCCTCCGCCGCCCCCCAAGAAGAAAGCTCCGTCATCTGGCAGCGGCCGTCGAGGTAGGCCACCAAAGTTGGCGAAGACGGCTGCGCCGGCACCGGCCCCGAGTGGGGAAAAGAGGGGGAGAGGACGGCCGCCCAAGGTGAAGCCGGCAGTGGCTGCTCCGGTGGGGGCTGATTGAAAAAAGAGTATAGATTGAGGGGTGACAGTGCTAATTGTTGTTTTCTTTACAATTTTAGTAATTTTCTATTTTCTTTATCTTGATTTATTTTTTCTTTAGCTTTGATATTCTCAAGTGGGTGTTGTAAGGTTAGTGTTAGGTTGAGTTGGGTGTAGGAGGCGCGTGTTGTTGTGACTGTAATTGCCGTGTAAATTTCTGTAGCGGCCGTTGAGGCTCTATGCACTCTCTTTTCTCTCTCTCTTGCCCAAAGAGCTATAGAAAAAGTTGACTTATTCTGATCACTGTTAACTTTCTTGGCTTTTGCTTTTTCTTTTCCGGCTTTTTATCTTGCAATTCAAAAGAAAGTTAGTTATGACTTGATTCTGCGGATTTATCATTAGCTCGATCTTTTTTGAAATTGGCATGCTTACCCCTTATTTCAAAACTTTGACCTTTAAACTAAGTGACATTGTGGGGTTCATCTTTTTGTTTAATTCCCATTAGACCCTAACGGTGGTTATGTTTGTTGCATGTGGTGCCTTGGGTATTCAAGCATTTGTCCTAAATCTTTGACAAACAAAGGTAACCCTAAAAGGCATGGTAATCAAACGTCAAAACCCATCTTAGCCATAATGGAATCAATGGGTAGGAGATGACTTTAGAGGCCAAGTGTTGGGGGAATAAAAACACCAATCAGTGAGGAGTTCATGCATGTTAGAAGCGTCAATGTCAATTAAATCAAAATCTTATCTTAATTATGTTCATATTCCTCACTTTGTTCTCCAAGTCTCTGTCCGTGTTGACTTGACTGGGTCTTTTGTTTCGGTCTGTCCCTCAACTGGAATGTCAACGTTTGCTGTGGGAATTTGGATCCGAAATGAAGTTCAAATAAACCCAATTTGAGGTTGTATATATTTTATTTTCATGAATAATTCAGATTTGGGGAATTTATAACGGAGTTAAAATTGTTTTTTTTTTTTTTTATTTGTACTTTAAATATCTTGTGGGGTTCTGATGATGGCAATGTACTTCGTCTGTCTTGAGGTCTTAAATTTGAATTCCACCCGGGAATATTTTATTACTGTGATCCTTTCTTTTTGGTGTATTGACTCCCTGACTAAATGCCAAGTAGGCTGCCGAGATACGGAATGAGCGGGAAACTGAAAACAAGTTTCAACTTTCGCTCGCTGTGGACGAAAGGGTCTAAAGAAGTGGTCAAAGCCCGGTATACTTGCGTACTTGTCCAAATCCTCCACCTTATTTATAATCAGAGAATTGGCCTTCTTTTTAAATTCTAATACCCAACTTATCACTCATATACAAAAACAGTTGGGCAAAATTCTTGGAGGGTCTCAGCGTTATGTCTGTATTTTTCAAATTAAAGCTTAAAAATTTTGTTCTATTAAGTTATGTTTTTGGAGCTACTTTACAAATTTATACTCCAAAGGGCCATTCGGATGAGCTGAGAAGAGGTGTGATAAGGTAGAGTAGGATAAAATAATCTTGTCAACACAGTAATTTGTATTTTTATCTCATGTTTGGTACAATTTCCTTCAACTTGAATAAGAAATTGGATAAAAATTTGGATTACCAAATTACCTTTGTGCACGCCTCCCTGGTCGCAGGAGCTTGATGCCAGTTGGGAAGGGTGATCGGGAGACGTTATTGGGAGAGACGAACGGGAAGGGGGAGATGCGATCGAAGGGCGATTGGGAAGGGAGACCGGTAAACACAGCCGAAAGAGACGATCGCGAAGGGCAAACTCGAGAGATGCAACGGGCAAGACGATCCGAGCAACGACTAACTCGGGGGTTATCGCAGATCTGCGACCAGTGAAGGGGAGCTTGGGTTTGAGAAGGGGGAACTCGGGAACGACGACCAGGGAGGGGGTTCTCGCAAATTTGTGACTGGTGAAGGGGAGCTTGGGTTTGAGAAGGGAGAACTCGGGAATGGCGACTAGGGTGGGGGTTCTCGCAGATGTGTGAGTGGCGAAGGGGAGCTTGGGTTTAAGAAGGGGTAGCTTGGGAATGGCGATCGGGGAAGGGATTCTCGCCGAGGCAACGATTGGCGAAGGGGAGCTTGGGTGTTATAGCGGGGGTAAAATTGTCAAACGAAAATTTAAAGAATACTGTTCAAGTAGGATAAATTTTGTCTCAGCCATCTAGTGAGATAAAATTATCCTATGAAATGGGGATAAAGTGGGATATCCGGTTGCCCGGATTTGTTACACAGATTCGTTATCATGCCAACCAAACATAGGATAAGGCAAGATAAGTTTTATCTTATCCTGCCTTCTCAGCCCATCCGAATGACCCCTAAGGCTACGCTTGATAACCTAGATAGGATATGATAGTATTAGGCAAGATAAACATAAATGTATCTTATTAGCATAGTAATTGCAAAATTGTCCACTTGTTTGGTAAACTTTAACCAATAAGATAGGATACAGTAGGATAAACTATAATTTTACAAAAAATACCATTGATTTTTTTACTGTTCACCACCTTTTAACTCGTAGAACATCATTGGTCAATTGCATGCTGCCGGAGTATTTGAGTTTTCAACGAAGCAAAAGCTCTTATCGGATCTAGGTTTTGCCTCTATTGGTTGGTCAATCTCGCATAGACAATGACTATGACTATAATTTTGTTGCTCCATAAGGCATAGAGATCGATTGTCGCCTTTAATTTGCATATGAAACAAGGTGCCAATTGTTGAAAACCATTATCGTCTGAGAGAGTTTGTCTTCACTAAATCTAGGTTTGCCTCCATGGCCAATCGATCCAGGTTTTGCCTCTATCATCGTCTGCAAGTGTTTTACCTTTACTAAATTGATTGATCTAATAGAAGAGGTTCCCATCATCATCCTAGAGAGTGAGTCCGATTTGGATTTAAGGGCAACAATGACCGATCCCTGTTCTTCATCTCTAAGGCCCTTTTTTACATGATTGATCTTTAAGGCCCTTATCTGTGCGATCGATCCATTTTCTTCCTTTGGGGATGACAACGACTGGCAGTAATATGAGCGATGACAATGGTGATCGACTGAGCACGTTAGAGTTTTGGCCGGATGGTTGTGACTGTGGTTGTGGCTATGACTATAAATGGCCTATTTTAGTTAATCTGTATGTGAACAGTAGGGGTATTTTAGTCAATGATGTAAAATTTAATATCTTGATCAAACTAGATAACTCTATCACACCTCTTCTCTAAGATAAAGTATCCATATTTAGTGAATTAAGTATCCTTATCTATCTCTCCATCTAGTTTAATTATCAGGTGTACCGAATGTAGGATAAAGTAAGATAAATTTATCTTATCTTGTCTTATCTTACAAATCGAATGTGGCCTACAAAGTGGAGTATTTGCTCCATTTTTGAAAAAAAAATGAACCATTTATGTACTAAATCGTCATGTGTCTCTAATGGCAGACTCAGCTCTCAACTTTATCATCCACCACTTGTTTGATGATATTTGTCAAGTAGAACCGGCTCATAACCTAGTTCTCTAAGCCTTGGATTCCAACCCCAAGCTTTAAAATTACTTCAAACTGTACCAAAACGAAGAAAGTCACTTCAAATTTGAAACTCCTCAAACCTTCAACTAGAATAATTGATTGAGGTTGAGTGAAAGCAAACTTTTGATTATTAGCGTCTTGATTCCAATGGGGGGAAGAGAATTCTGATGTTGTTGCCACTTGATAAGATGGATGCTAGAAAGAGGCATTGCCAATGGGTCCGGCAATGGCTATGGGCAAGTTCGCAGTGGAGATCCAAGACCTTGCTTGAAAAGGGCCCTAGGTTCGGCTTGGGACGTATGACATTGTCATAGAGGAATATGACCAATTGGGAGAGGGTGGAAATAAGTTGACTTGAGTTGAGCTAATTTTAACTCAGGCTTAGCTCACTTAAATTTAGATTAGCTTGTAGCTTAACTCATTTTTGAAGCGAGCCTATTTTTTTAAAACTCAGCTCGCATTAAACTCACGAGCAGTTTAGCTTCGCTCATTAGTTTACATATATCAAAAATTTAAAAACCAATTGATAATTTATACATCTCATTAAGCTACATTAATAAGCGATATTTTTATCTATAATTTAAACTAATATGAAAATAAAAAGTTTCATCTATAGAAAGTTTCAAGTTAACTTTGACAAATACGAAAATATTATGCCATAATTACAATTTGTAACTAGCCTATGTTTTATTATTCTATCTTCAAATTTCTTTGATATATAAAAAACTATTATGTTATAATTGTAATTTCTAATTAGCCTATGTTTTATTGTTCTATTTAGTTTTTAATGGCATTCTTGTGTTATATTACTCTTTTAAGAAAAAAAAAAAGCCCTTATTAAAGTAATAGTTTACTTTTTCTAAATTGGCTACTTAATGAGAAATTATTTCAAATTTATTATTACATAATTTTCTCTGAATATTAAAAAAAATTAAGGACAATTGACTTTAATATTTTCAAAAGTAAAAAAAAAACTTTTTTTAGAAGTTTAAGAAACACAATTTATTTAAGAATTAAACAAAGAGCAATTTATTTTTCACAAATCAATTAAGAATAGTTAGAATCTCAAATAATATATATATATTATATATATATTAAGTTAGCTTATAAACCAAATGAGTTGGACTTTCTTTAACTTAAGCTCGGATTATACTTTATATGAATTAAAAAGTATAACTTATGTATCACTCATTTGATTCATGAGTTTAGCTCATTGAACCAAGTGTTGAACTAATGAAAAAAGATTTTGTTGTGATTTAGTCCTGTATCCTTTTACCCCTTTTTATTTTAGTCATTCATCCCTTAATTTCATCACTTCAATTTTTATATTGGCTTCATAATTTGTTCTATTCTTTATATTAATGCTTTGATTTTTTTCCGTAAAACCCTATCTAAAATATAATATATAAAAGAACAAAATTTCAAAAAATATCTAAAAAATATGTGCCAAAAAAATAATGTCTTATTTTCCTAAGACATGTTCCTCCAATTTTATATCAAAAGT